AATTTACGACAGGAGATTCAGATTAAAATTTAAATAGATTATAACAGTCATTACTTTAACTTGGGTGTGTTTGATTATTTCTGCTGAATAGCTTAAAAGTTGTTTAGGCTATAGCTTTTGATAATGGGATCATCCATTGCATCCCCACCCGCTAGTCCGCAAGTTACTTTTAAATTTAATTTAGCTTTGTTGTTGTTGAGATGAGGTCTCACTCTGTCACCCGGGCTGGAGTGCGGTGGTGCAATCTTACTTAGCTCAGTGCAGTCTTGAACTCCTGGGCTCAAGTGATCTTCCTACCTCAGCCTCTTGAGTAGCTGGGACTACAAGTGTGTACAATTTTTATTTTTTTGGAAATAGAGTTTCACTCGTTCACCCAAGGCTGGAGTGCAATGGCATGATCTCAGATCACTGCAATCTCCACCTCCTGGATTCAAGCCTTCTCGTGTCTCAGTCTCCTGAGTAGCTGGAATTACAGGCACGCACCACCACACCCAGTTATTTTTGTATTTCTAGTAGAGATGGGGTTTCACTATGTTGGCCAGGCTGGTCTCAAACTTCTGACCTCAAGTGATCTTCCTGCCTTGCCTCCCAAAATGCTGGGATTACAGGGGTGAGCCACAGTTTTTTTTTGTGGGGTACAGATGGGGTCTTGCTGTTGCCCAGGTGAGTCTTGAACTCCTGGCTTTAAGGCATCTTCCCACCTTGGACTCCTAAATTGCTGAAATTACAGGCATGAACCGCTGTACTCAGCCCACAATTAAAAACATAATAATTGAAATTTTGGTCTTAAAACAGTGATAGAAATATTTCAAAAATACAATGTAAATGTGACTTTATCTAAGGGACGGATGCCGGTGTTTGATAAACGAAAATGTCAGTTTCCCTCTTTGTACACCTGGAAACACCGAACCTGAACGTCCGAGCTGGTTCTCACACTGTGAGGAATGGAACCTGGAAGGGGTCTGTAGCTTTGGAGGCCCGGGTGTGAGTCATTGCTACCCTCCAACATTCAAAGCTGAAGTAGAATCAGCTTTTCTTCTTTGCTCTGGAGGGTGAGAGCAGAGGAAATACTGCAACGTTGCCTCTGTCTAGAACAGGCGTTTTCCCATTTGCGCGCACACCAGAATCAACTGAGAAGCTTTGAAAGATAATATTTAGGTCACACCGAAGCAGATTCAATTGGAATTTCTGGGGGTGGGCCCCAGGGGTTGGTATTTTATAAAGTGTTCCAGGTAATTCCAATGTGCAGCTGGGGTTGAGATCTGTAACTCTGGCAAAATATAAATAATTATTTTAACATCGGATTTATACCAGGCTCTTGGTTAGTTTCAAGATGTCTTAAAGGCTGCCAAAGTGTCATTGTTTGCATATGGCACCACGATTCAGATCATTTATATAGATGACCACAGTTTTATGAGGACAGAGTTAGTAAAAATGAAAGGAGGCCAAATGCAAATGAATCCTGGTACAGAAGAGAGCATTCGTGGAAAAACTGGGGAAATCCGAATCAAGTCTGTAGTTTAGTTAGTAATATAACACTGATGTTAATTTCTTAGTTTTGATTAAAGTAACATGATTTGCAAGATGTTGACATTTGTTGAAGTTGGGTGGAGGGTATACAGAAACTCCCCAATATGTTTGCAATTCTTCTTTCAGTCTATTTCAAAATTAAAGTTAAAAGATTAAAAAAAGAGAAAGCAGGTGTGGTATTAACGCTGCAAAACCATTGATTGCTAACAATATTAAACATTCTTGGGCATAAGTTCTTGCACTGTGGACTCAGATGCTTTATTAATGAATACAACTTATGGAGTGAGAGAAGCTTAGAGAACTTTCCAATTTCCTGTCTACATTTTGCTTTATATATTTTTTCTCCAGTTTCATCTAGATCCCACAAAATGTCAACAGCACTTAATTCTGAATGAGTCTCTAACAATATATGACTGGTTTTCTTTTTGGAGTCAGAGTCTTACTCTGTTGCCCAGGCTGGAGTGCAGTGGCACGATCTCAGTCTCTGCCTCCTGGGTTCAAGTGATTTTCCTGCCTCAGCCTCCCAAGCAGCTGAGATTACAGGCACGTGCCATCACCCCCAATGAATTTTTGTATTTTTAGTAGAGATGGGGTTTCGCCATGTTGCCCAGGCTGGACTTGAATTCCTGACCTCAGGTAATCTGCCCACCTTGGCCTCCCAAAGTGCTGGGATTACAGGTGTGATCCACTGTGCCCCATCTACCACTAGAAATTCTGCTCTTAGGAACGATCATGCTGCTGGTAGGAGTATCCTCCACTTGCAGAGCACTTTACAGTTTACAACTGCTTCCCACGTATCAGCCTTGTTTTATTTGCATTAGAAAACAGGCAAATACATGTGATATACCATAGGCTGTCCAAAGAATTGAGCTACGATTGCATTTTATTATAAAACGGTGTAGCGCCTGTATAAAGCACACACACACACACACACACACACACACACACACACACATACACACATACTCACAATACACATGTAGAATTGGAAAAGATGATTATAAAACAATCTTGCCATAGTGTCCTATAATACAGAGCTATGGCGGACACAGTACTGTAAGGCCAGCACTTACTACCTAGGAATCACCAAGCCAGAGCAGGTGACACCCAGGGGCACTATTACGCAAGGGCAGCTCTTGTTCTTTCCTACCAGGAAAAGGAGAAAAGTTCAGTGAGGCACTCACAATGTCTGCAGGCCCTGGCATTGTCCCGCCAGGACTGACAGCCCCTGAGTCATGGTCTCTCCACTGTCCCACCTTGAAGGTGTCAGCTCTTCACCTCCTCTGGGCTCCTGACACCTGCCCTTTCCCCTGTTGTACCAGGCACATCTGCCAGTTCTTTTTTGGAAATCTTTTGCCAGCTCCAGTGGATGGCTGACTTCCTGCTGGCTGGCTGTCACTTCTTCTGTGGCTGGAGAGACCCTCCCACCCAGACTCTAGGGTAGGTGATGGAAGTCGCTGCACTGTCCCTGGATCATGCTGGAAGGATGAGGATGGCTCACTTCTCTTCATCACTGCCCCCGACAGAGCCTCCATGCAGCCAACTCCACCACTAGCAGAGGGGGCAAGACACTCTTATCCAGCCTGACACCCCACACACACGCATTTTATCCAGCCTAGCTTCTACACACACACACACACACACACACACACACGCACACACACACACACATGTCGGCACTGAGAGCCAGGAGAGCTCAGACCTGGAGCATACCAGCTTAGCTGGATGGGGAAGCTGGACTTGGCTATGTGCAGCCCCTGCTGTGATGTGTGGCTTTGGTGCTCTCGTCCCTCCTGGGAGAAGAGTGACTTTCTACCTAGGTCTGATTCCCGCCAGCCAGTGCTGTTAGGGCAGTGATCTGAAACGTTCTGCAGATGCACATCACCTTCCCCATCAGCCCAGGATCACATGACCATTTCTCAATTCTTGTTTATTCAAAAGGGAAGCCTAATTGGGGCTCCTCTAGAGTTCACTCCCAGGATCTCTTCGTAAACTTACCGGGGAAATGTGAACAATGGGAATATGATGAATTGAAACAGGGTTTCCTTCTGATTAGTGAAAACAGTCCAAACAGCAATTTAAGTGGTTTATAGTGATTCTCAGGAGAAAAGGGAGAAAATAATCTAAATTTGTAAAAGTAAATGTTCTAGATGTGCATTTTTTAAAAGCATTTAAAAAAATTGCAGTGCTAGGTCCTTCCCGTGAGTGCCCTGAACTCCGCCCATGGGCTTACTTGGTCCTACCTGTGACTCCTCCTGCCCACAGACGGCCACCCCCACCTGCGGTCCAGCTCCCTGCAGGTTCCAGGGTGAGTGGCCGACCTCGCTCCTCCTAGCTTTCTTGAGGGAGATGTGGCTTTGCTCCAACTGCCTGCTCTCTGAACACACCACAGCTTGAAATGTCCCTGATTTACAGGGTGACCGTACGGTCCAGTTTGCCCAAGACAGTCCCAATGACATCCCCTTTTGTTCAGTGTCCCAATCTGGATAATAAGTCATAGGGCTACCCTGACCACTTGCAGCTCGCCAAGGCCAACTGTGGCCATGTGCAGGTACATCTGGTCGCATCTCCCACTGGCCCATGTGGATGCTGCCTGTTCTTGTGTCAGTGGCACCACCTGATTCCCAGGGCCCGGCCTCCCCTGTACTGTCTTGCCCAGCCACTAACCTAATGCTGACCTATTAGTAATTTAGGAAATCATCTGTGTAATTCTAAAGATCCGGAAGAGTGTGTGTGCGCGCGCGCACGTGCGTGTGTGTGTATGTGTGCACACACAGGAAAGAGAATTATGAACTATTTTCTTAAAATAGCTCATTTTTATCTAGAAATCTATGCAGGTATTCACCAAACTGTTTTGATAACAGAACATTAAAAAGGAAATTGAAATTTTGGTAAAGATTTCCTTACTTGTTTACAAAACACCACTTTATGACGCCAAAATCAAAAGACCTTTGAAAGTAAATATTCTTCTCATCAGATCAGTGATCTGAATTTTCTATGTTCATAATCACTCTATTTCAGCTCAGATGGTGAGTACAGGTTGTCGTTGTTTTTTTTTTAATTTATCATCAAATTTGCTTCCTGCTGTTATCCCGACAGTAGAGAGAAATGATTCATTTCCACAAGTTTTTATTTAACTTAAACAGAAAACAAACCCAATTAAAAAAAATAAAGTTAGATCCACTTTAAAAAAAATAATAAACATTTCAGTCTGAACACAAACCTGCTTGATTAGAAGAACTAGTTCACCGAATAATTGTATAATATTAACATCACCCTAATTATACCCTTTGGCGGTACCAGGCATGACCACAAGGCCTTTGAAATTCAGATGATGAACTTGGACTGACCCCAGACCATGGGACCCAAGTGGCTTGCAGCTGATTTTGCTGCTGACAGCTGGAGCAGAGCAGTTTCGTGTTCTGCACTGAGCTCCCCTTCGAGCTATGAGGGCTCCCGGCAGTACTTACGTTTCATCCGTGAACGCTATTCCAAAATACTCCTTTTCCTTCAGATTAAAGTGAGAAGCCACGAGGTCAAGAAGCTCCTTGGCCAACAGCTTGGGCTGCAAGGCGAATACAATGGAAGAAGGGTGAGTGATGAGAGACTGCTTTTCCTAAAACATGTAATCTCGGGTTTCCATCATTTTTTCAATGCAATGTTGCTAAGCTCAAGTATTTTAAAGCAAATGATTTTTATAAACCCAAACAAACGACAATGGCACTGATGAGCACACAGCCACGTGAAGGGTCGTCAACAGACAGAGACCTTCTGTTTTGTTTCCTAGAAGGTCTTTATTTTTTTTTCTAAATTGAGGTGGAGACTCACTCTGTTGTCCAGGCTGGAGTATAGTGACATGATACTGGCTCAGTGCCACCTCTGTCTCCCAGGTTCAAGTGATCCTCATGCCCCAGCCTCTGGGATTACAGGCATGCACCACCGCACATAGCTAATTTCTTTCTTTTTTGTATTTTTAGGAAAGATGGGGTTTTACCACGTTGGCCAGGCTGGTCTCAAACTCCTGGCCTGAAGTGATCCACCCGCCTCAGCCTCCCAAAGTGCTGTGATTATAGGCGTGTGCCACCACACCTGGCTAATTTTCGTATATATATTTTAAATTTTTGTATTTTTATAATCCCAGCTACTTGGGAGGCTGAAGGAGAAGTGCTTGAACCCGGGAGGCAAAGGTATCTGTCAATCTAAAGAAGCATACCAGACCCTTAGAGCCTTAGGCATAAAGTCACGGCAGATGTTAGTGTTGTTAACATGTTATTCACCTTGGTCTGTCACTATTGAAATGACCACAGAACACCAGGCACTGAACCGGGGGAAGAAAAGGCTGTCTGATGAGGATACAGGGCCAGGAAAGAAGAGTTATTCCTAAACTGGCTTCCAGGTGATGCATTTGAAAATACATTCCCTTTATGAAAATTCCTCCATTCCAAGCACACTCACCAGATACTTACAAGTTCAGAGCAAAAAGCTCAGATTCCAGAAAGAAAATGATTGTGTATGTGTGTGTGCATGTGTGCGCGTGTGTGCATGTGTGCATTTATGCATATTATTTTTGGTCTTCCTGAGTTTATTTTCTATCCTGGTGGCTAGGCATTTCTCTGCGAGGAGAATGGGTAAGATGTATATCAAAAGTTCCACCACAGTAGGTTTCTTATTTCACTTCTTGGGTACTGCTATGGACTGAATTCTATCTCCCCAAAATGCATGTGTTGAAGCCCTGACGTCCAGTGGTATTTGGAAATGGGACTTTGGGGAGACAATTAGGTTTAAATGAGGTTATGAGGGTGGGGCCCTCAGGATGGAATTCGCACCCTTGTAAGAAGAGGTACCAGAGAGCCTGCTTCCTCTCTCTGCCATGTGGGGCCACAGTGAGAAGGTCACCCTCACTAGGATCCAACCATGCTGGCACCCTGATCTCAAAATGACTGTTTAATACAACAGACATTTATTTATTGAGTGCCTACTATGTGCAGGGCACTGCCCACATGCTACAGGAAACAAAAAAATAAGCAAGACCCAGCACAGGTCCAAAAGAACCTTCGAGTTTTATTAGGGACACATAGTAGTAGCTAGTGCTCAGTTTGCAAAGCCGAAGAAGATGCTTCACCCTTTTCTGCCTCACTCCCGGGGCCCTGGGTGGCAGCCTCAGGGCCTAGATGACCATCAATTCACCGATGAAAGCCACTTAAACTAAAAGAGTGGATTTGAAGCTTCCTCCCCAGCAGACGGGAATTGACAGGAGAATCCAGCGTGATAAATCAACACCACCTCATAGTCTACACTTCCACTCAAACTGAATTTTGAAAAAGTGAAAAAGCAATCTCTGTAACCAACAGGGAATTCAAGGAGGTATATCAGACCCTCCTTCACTCCTACTGGAACGTCTACTCTGGAAGAACGCAGTGGGGTAAACATGGCACATCTCAGAACGTCACTGATGAATTATGAAGCAGAATGCAAGTTGGGGGCTCTTGAAGCTTCCAGTAAATGCTGCATTGGCCATGGGCTGTGGCCAGCACCAGCCGCACCCCCAGAAGGTATTCGCTGCCCCATAACAAAGGGTTTGATGGATCACTTGTGACTATGAGGGAGCGTGGCTGCATTTTAAATTGCAATGTACTAGCTGGGCGCCATGGCTCATGCCTGTAATCCCAGCACTGTGGGAGGCTGAGGCGGGCAGATTGCCTGAGGTCAGGAGTTTGAGACCAGAATGGCCAACTTGGCAAAATCCTACCTCTACCTAAAATTAGGAAATTAGCCAGGTGTGGTGGTGTGTGCCTGTAATCCCAGCTTCTTGGGAGGCTGAGGCAGAAGAATCTCTTGAACCTGGGAGGTGGAGGTTTCAGTGAGTGGAGATGGTGCCACCGTACTCCAGCCTCGGCAACAGAGTGAGACTGTCTCAAAAAATAAATAAATAAATAAATAAAAAGCAATGTGCAGATGCTCCTTGACTCACACGGTGGGGCTACATCCTGGTAAAATCACTGGAAGTTGAAAATATTGTAGATAAAAAATACACTTAATACACCGGACCCACCAAATATCACAGCTTAGCCTAGCCTACCTTAAAGGTGCTCTAAACACGGCCATTAGTCTACAGTTAAGCAAAATCGTCTAATGCCAAGACTGTTTTGTCACAGACTGTTGAATATCTCATGTACTTTGTTGAATACAGTCAGTTGCTTACTCTTGTGACTGTGCGGCTGAGCAGTCGTGCAAGGGAGTGCTGTACCACGTACTGCCAGCCTGGGCAAAGGTCGACATTCATCTCGAGTATGGTTGCTACTCAAAGTGCATTGCTTTTGCACCATTGTAAAGCTGAAAAATGATAAGTCAGACCAACGTAGACGAGGGGCCGCCTGTGATATAATTTACCTGTCCAAATGACTGCCACCCCTTTCAAAGTAGTCACCGTATCTCTCTCATGTTTGCCATTTCTTAAAACATTTTTGATAATCTTTTGGGTTTGCCCTTGAAGCCTGTGTCAGATTTGTCTATGCATTTTCACTGGTGATAAATCTTCTTGTGTTCGAGAATGGATTTGATTTTTTTTTTTTTTTCAAATGCCAAAAGTTACTTAAAGTCAAGTCTAGTGAACAGAGATAGAGGAGGAGGAACGGGTAATTATGCCTGGTATAATCAATTTCAGAAAATTTCAAATTTCAGAAATTTTCAATTTCAGAAAATGAAGTGTGATTACAAGTAATTATTGTGGGTTTTTGGGGATTATGGTGAGAGGTTTTGTCCAAACTTGAAAACGATAAAAATTAGATTTCATTCTGAGATTTTAACCTTAAGCCCGGGCACAGTGACTCCTGCCTGTAATCCCAGTGTTTTGAGGCTGAGGCAGGAGGATTCCTTAAGCCCAGGCGTTCAATACCAGCCTGGGCAATATAGCCATACCCCATCTCAACCAAAAAATTTTAAAAATTAGCCAGGTAGAATGGCATGCATTTGGGATTAGACCTAGTTATTCAGGAGGCTTGGACAGGAGGATTGCTTGAGTCCAGGAAATTGAGACTGCAGTGAGCTATGATCATGCCACTGCACTCCAGCCTGAGCCTGGGCAAAAGAGTGAGACCTGGATTCAAAAAAAAAGAAAAGAAAAGAAAAAAGAAAAGAAAAGAAAGGGAAGGAAGGAAGGAAAAAAAGAAAAAAAAGGAAAAATGGAGAAATACAGAAAGATAAAGAGAGAGAAAGAAAGGAAAGAAAGAGAAATAGAGAAAGAGAAGGAAGGAAGGAAGGGGAGAAAGAAAGAGAAAGGAAGGAAGGAAGGGGGAGAGAGAGAGAGAGGGAGGGAGGGAGAGGGAGAGGGAGAGGGAGAGGGAGAGGGAGAGGGAGAGGGAGAGGGAGAGGGAGAGAGAGAGAGAGAGAGAGAGAGAGAGAGAGAGAGAGAGAGAGAGGGCTGGGTGCGGTGGCTCACGCCTGTAATCCCAGCACTTTGGGAGGCTGAGGTGGGCAGATCATGAGGTCAGGAGTTCAAGACCCATCTGGCCAACATGGTGAAACTTCATCTCTACTAAAGAGCAAAAAATTAGCCAGGATGGTGGTGTGCATCGGAAATTCCAGCCACTTGGAGGCTGAGGCAGGAGAATTGCTTGAACCTGGGAGGTGGAGACTGGAGTGAGCCGAGATTGTGCCATTGCACTCCAGCCTGGGCAACGGGACGAGACTCCGTCTCCAAAAAAAGAGAGACAGAGAGAAAGAAAGAAAGAGAAAAAAAATGAAAAGAAAGAAAGAGAAAGAAGAAAGAGAGTGAGGGAAAGAAGAAAGAAAAGATAGTTAAACTTTAAAGCCAACATCTCAATAGATTTGATCAGAGATATATAAATATGCCCAGAAAGAGAAAGAGTGATTCCCAGGGCTGGCATAGTTTATGTAGAACATATATTCATCACTCCATAGGATGATGGGGCCTGAATGGAAGGGGGAGATTGGAGACAGGGTGGGAGGGGCAGTTGGGGAAGGGAGATGAACCCAGGAAGCAAATGTGATCTTAGCCAATAGGTGTGGAGTATTTGGGTCCCATACTGGGTGGTAAGGTCTTTTATGTAGTAGAAACGGAGGGCTGAGGTTACTTTAGTTGATCATGTTATGCTGAACTCTCCTAATTCCATGGCTCCCAAGGAACAACTACATTCCTTATATATGATCTCATTATCATGTAGAAGAGAGATGATTATTCTTTTGCCAAAGAAGATTCTGAGACTGAGAGATGCCAGGCAGGCTGTCCTGGGTCTCACAGCCAAGCCGGGATTCAACACAAGGTTCAGATACACAGCATGGAATATTATTCAGCCCTAAAAAGGAAGGAAATTCTGAAGTAGATGGAACCTGAAGACATTAAGCTAAGTGAAAGAAGCCAGACACAAAAGGACAAATATTATATGATTGCACTTAGATGAGGTCATTAAACAGGCAAATTCATAGAGACAATAGAATAGAGTTACCATGGGCTGAGGTGGTGGGCAGATGGGGAGTTATTGCTTAGTAGTTACAGCATTTCTGTACTGGATGCATAAAAAGTTTTGGAAATAGTAGTGATTGTTA